GGCCAGATGACAAAAGTGTCATCCACGTACCTCTTCCATAAGGTTGGGCGCAGAGTGGCAGTCTGGATGGCATCAGTCTCAAATTTCTCCATGAAAATGTTAGCTATAACTGGAGAGAGGGGGGAGCCCATTGGGGTGCCCTCAGTTTGTTTGTAGAAAGTTCCATTCCAAGTGAAGTATGTATTGGTTAAACAGTGTCTCACCAGGGGGGGTACCTCAGTGTTTAGTCCTTGATGAACCAAGTCTTCAATGATTGCAATGGTGTCAGGTACAGGAACCTTGGTGAATAAGGAAACTACATCAAAACTGACAAGCAGGTCGTCTGGGGACAGGGAAATGCCCTTGATTGTCGATACCAGGTGAGTAGAATTTTGTACCGCAGAGGTGGTCTTTCCAGTGAAAGGACGCAGGATTTCAGACAAAAAACGAGCTAGTTTGTAGGTGGGGGAGCTGATAGTAGAGACTATGGGACGAAGAGGTGTATCAACTTTATGTATTTTTGGTAAGCCGTATAATCTTGGTGGTCTGGCAGCAGAAGGTTTCAACGAAAACTGTTTAGATTGATCAATTAATGCGGTTGAATCAGAAATTATTTTGTTGGTTTGTGTGACGAGGCTGTTGGTGGGATCTCTTTTTATTTTTGTATAACTACCATCGTCGAGTAATTCTTTAATTTTGTTGTTGTATTCTATTTTATCCATGATGACAGTAGCATTGCCTTTGTCAGCTGAGAGGACTACAATATCATTCCTCTTTTTTAATTTATATAATTCAAAACGCTCATCTTTGCTGAGGTTGCTAGCTGGCATCTTAGCGTTTTTGAGGGTTGCAGCGATTTCAGATCTTGCTACGTCTGCAGCGATGTGACCCAGGCCCCTGAGAGCAACGTCTACTTGGGCAATTATATCATTAACTGGTATGTGTTTAGGTGTGACTGCAAAGTTTAGACCTTTAGCTAAAACGGATTTCAGACCATCGGAAATAGAACTGTTACTGCGATTAATTACGACTTTATTAACGTCTAACTTTTTGGTGTGTGGGTCCGGTCTTTTGTTGAAGAGGTTAAATTTACAAGCACAGAGACAATTTCAACCGAGAAGATGGATTCTATCTTAGCAATCATTGGAAAGATTTGATAAACCATTTCAGTTCTTAATTGATTGTTCACGCTTACAGTGGCTTTCAGACAGCATACATTATAAAAAAATTCGTCTCCCCCCTCCTCTTTTAAAAAAAAAATAGATGGACTAGTCCTGGGCAAACTGCCAAATCGCTGCGCGTGACGCCAACGTTTTTTTTATAAATAAATAAATGTGCCGTTTAAAAATAAATTTATGCAAACCAACACACCTGATGATGACCGTTTGAGTTATGGTCGAAACGTCGTGAGAATTTTTTTATTGTTTTATATATATTTTGTTATTTTGTTGTTTCTCTTCAACGTGACTTTACCGAAAAAACTAAGAATATGAATTACTGCAGTCACGAAAGCTTTAAATCAAAAATGTGTGTTACGTGTATACAGGATACAGTTCTCGCAATTGAGATAGAATGAAGCACTCGGGCCCTTCTCAATCTAAACAACTTTAATAGCACTTACCCTAACATCCAACAACACTCATTATCAGAATACCAATAACAGTACACATGCAAATATACGTACTCATCAACCCGTACTGAATAATCATAAAAGCATCAACGGTCAATCTCACGATCACGTGATTAAAAGAGAACAATAGACAAACACCTCAACATGGCGATAGTCGTACGGAATTCGTGCTCATAAATGCGCATCAAATGCTTAGAAAACTTCAACGATCGGATCTCACAATCACGTGATTTAAAGAAAACAACCCGGCTGTTTCAAGGTAACGCGACAATGCACAATTCGTTTGTTGGGGTGTGTGATGCATGCAAGCTGGGGTTCTTATTAGCCCGCAATCGTGTATAAGGCACAGGTAAATGGTGTGAAGTTAATGTTCTTCCATCTTTTGTCATCTTTCTTCCCCAAAAATACCTCCAGTCCCACAAGGATGTGGAGAACGCCAGGCTGGGTCCACAGCTGGAGTGCGCTCGTGGCCACGCTGCTCAATGCACGCTCACTGATTGCACGCCAGGCTCGATCTGCAGCTGGAGTGCGCTGCCGCCACGCTGGCCCAGCACGTTGCCTGTCAGCAGCCTTGGGAGTGGCTTTGGTTCGCGAGCACCCCCTGGGTTGCTCGCCCTCAGAGATCTCACGCTGTGCAGCAGCAGCCTGCACGTGACAATCGCTCACACACTCCCGGCCTCTCCACCTCATACAATGTCAGGTTGACTTGACAACAGACGTCATTTTTCCAGCCTACAGTAGGACAATATTTCATGCACACTCGATATTGGTGGATGACTCAAGTCTCCACTTGGGAAAGTTGCTTCACGCCACCATGGGCGTTTTGCCAAGGATTCCCTGACACCTCTTAACTTAGTACATTATTATCTAGAAAAATATATTTTTCTTTTTAATAACAACGGCATGAAGAATGCAGTTTCAGGTCTCTTGCCACCATAAACTCTTATCAATCAAGAATTTTCCTCAACCACGTAACTTATCACACCTCTTAGCTTAGTACAGTACAACTTATCGAAGTCATTTACTCTACAAGTTACTCAAAATATGAAGAAAAACGGAAAATAAAATGTTCAGTGATACTTAGAGTCTGCCTTAGCAAGAACTCAACTCTACTGCAAGTCACGAGGGCAAATCCCAGAGCCTGTCTCTGCAGGACTGCTTTGTATGATGCTGTGTCGTTTGATTAGGAATGTGTAATTGATTTCCTAAGTTATATATAAAAAAGCCCAAAGCTCCTCCCACCTTTTTTTGGCTTTCTGGATACCCTGGCGTCAGGGGTTATACCTCCTTTGGAGGTCATCCCAAGACGGTGTGAACTCTGATGTACTTAGCTGCCCCTGGTGGTGTTTACTTAACTTGTGAAAGCTGGCCACCCAGACATGGTGTATGTGTGTGTCAGTGGCCCATGTTGCAGGGTAAAAATAAGTAATATTTTAAAATACTTTTTAAAACACGCTTTAATTAAATGTCCCGCCGAGTAATGGCATAACTCCACGACTCCAGGAAGTGGCCCCGAGGCTTGCCATAACGTAAGGGACCGTGGTGATTTACAGCTAACGTCAGTTGAGCGTGAACAATTAGACCCAAGCCGAAATATAACATAAAAAAGATGGTTTAAATTTTTAATGATAGAATATAGTATTGTCATCAGTATGACATAAGTATACCAAGTTTTCAGTCGATAGTACATTGGCAAGTGGGTTAAAATTGAGTTACAAGATTTGAGGATACGACAACAGACAGTTAAATAAAAGCGTGTAATAATAAAAATGGCCTCCCTCTCTGGGTATCTTTGTCCCCTCTCCGACTGAGGCTGCTTCGCCGAGTTCGATTCCCCCTCAGTAAATACAGTGGCGTTTATCTGCACTGGTCCTGGTTCCCCCCTTACGTGGGCTCAGCATTAATATGAATGACTGGTATGGCATGTAAAGATCGCCAATGGGAAGACAAAGGTGGTTGGGCGTCGCCCAGATTATACACCCTTGACTACATATACATTTTGGTTGTCGAGAATTGACAATTATAATATATAAATGTGTCTTGTTCTGAATGATCTTTTAAGGTCAGTACTTCAACACGAACTTCCATAATTCAATTATAATAAAGTCTCACATGCGTATCCAGACCGTATGGATAATTACGTACAAATAAGTGATTGTGAATAAGAATATGCAAAATAGTCATATTGTAACCGTTTTCCCCTGAGCTGCATTATCATATAACGGCACACCCTATCATCAAGGTTAATGTTTCATAGAGTAACGTTTCATACCTTGATGTATTAATAATATTAATATGTGGTGGTTGTCATTCTGAACATTGGCTTTTGTGGTCCCCTTTGATTAAAGCCTCATTATCAACTTCTCATTCTAATGTTACATTTTTACTCCTCCATGGTTACCCTCAACCCTCGGAATGCAATCAACCCACCTATATCTGTACAAAGAACTATGATATTCAAAATAGACAATATGTAAAAAAATATATTGCAAAAGGCACATATACAACAAAGCGATCAAAAACAAACAGCACTGTCGAGAATTGTCGCATTGCTTGAATCGAGCTGGGTTGTAAAAGTCGAGCGGTGCAAGGGAAGAAGCAGACAGAGATACGTTTTGACCTGCAGTATCATGGTTGAAAAGCTGTTGGAAGAGATGACACAGTCTGATACACTGAGCCCTCAATATTGGTGGAGTAGTTGTTGAGTAATTAGTGGTGGAAAAGTGGAATTGGTGGTAGAAGAGTGGTTACAAAACAGATGGTCCTATTTTGATATGTGTAGTAGATTGATGCCAATGCAGTCCCCTACGTTTTATTTACATGGCTACAGCACCTTATGACCCATGCCTTATTTTAATTTATCCTACACAGGCTGAATGTCATAGGCAATCGGGCCTTCCATAGTGAACCCTACAAAAAAGGTGACAGACTCGATGCTCTTGCCCGTCCTCAGTGGTCCCAGGTTTACTGGGTGCACAGGAATCTTGATGGCCTTATTTTTCCCATCACCAGCACTGAACCTATGGTCAAGGTAAATGTCTCCTTCATCAGTAGTTGATCCCCGAACTCTAAGGAGGATTTGTTGAACTTTTTTTTCCTTGAAAATCTCCCCACTGAGCCATAATAGACGCAAGGATTTCCCAGTTCTCTGTATGTCTGCAGTTTTGTCAATTTTTGTTCGAGACACTATTCTTTCCAATCCATTTCCCTTCCCCAAAAAGAAATTGGTTGTTAATTGTTGTCTGCGGCTCATGTATACATATTTTGCTCGGAAGGATCGTTTCATTGCCTCAATGTATTCTGCCAGCTGATTCACGTCAGTTCTTTTGCTTTCTTCATTGAGCCACAGTAAACGTAAAGCCAGAAAGTATGGTTCTGGAAATCTGTGTTGTGTTCCTATTTCGCGGAGGATATTGTTCAGCATAGTCACCAGTTCACTATAGGGGGAAACCGTTTTGGATTTGTTATTTACACAATTTAGGATAACGTTAGCAAAAATTAAATTTTGTTTTCCTTAATGTTATTGATATTTTTAGAATTACAAAGTAGACTTTTATAGCTGCTGACAATAACCTCCAGAGATTTTTCAGCATTTCGTTCAGCAAGATAGCGTATAAGTCCTGGAAGTCTATCACCGTGTTCTGACTCAATTTCATTCGTAGCACTTAATTTTGGGAATTGTTTCGCATCCAGTTTTTCTGACTTCTCTGAACAAAATATCGTTGTATATTGGTTGTAAAACTTTTCTACGGTGTAACGATGCTTGTCTTGTATTTGTGATTCGGCATACCTTGGCTTAAACAGCCAAAAATAGGCTTCCAAAACTTCTAAGGAATACTTCATTCTCTTTTTTAATTCTCTAAGATATAACTCATTGTTTTGTAAAACCTCCACTGTTGCTTTTTCTTCTTCGTCATCTGTAGGTATTCGTGACAAGTCAATCCTTCCATTTAAATAGGCCACCAGGGTTCTCTTGTGGATTTCACCAGTTTTGTAAAATACTTTGGTCAGCTCAAACAGTTGCAACATATGTGTGGCAACCTCAATATCGCCGAAGAATCCAGCTGTGTTAAAGGCACCATCCTCTGTTTTAACCAACTCCTGTGCTTCTCTAAAAAAGTCAGAAGCACTTTTTGCAAGCTGTAGTGCTTTATTAAGATCTGATGGAGGAAGGAACCCTTTTTTCTCTATGGCGCTAACATCAAATTTCTGCTTCAGTTCATGCTTATAAATCTGACCAATTGTGTCTGTAATGTAAGAACTATTTTTGACCAATTTTTTTGCATGCTCTGCCCATTTTTTGGCTTCATCAAAGTTGTTGTCTTTAAGGTAGCAAAACCTTGCAAGAGCCTGGGCCAATATCGCATCTTTTGAAAATCTATCTGTAGCACAACACATTAATTCTTTAGCATTTTGCATGCCTGATTCCAACTTACTTGGGTGGCTTAATGTACTGTATTTCTGTTTAATGATGTCTTCAATAAGAGGTGCAAAGAGACTGTCTGTTTCATCGCCCTGCTCTTTGCGATGGCGGATGACAAACATATTCCTGACATTTTTAACCAAGTGCTCTCTTCCCATGCCATTATTAAAAAGGATATCTTCAGCAAGCAGTTCTTTAGCAATGCTACATCTTGAAGAGCGATTCGTTGTTTCAAATTCTTCCAGCACTTGTTTCGCCACGAGTGGATGTATCATTCGGACTGATTCATAAGTGCCATTCACTTCGTCCATGGGGCATTTAATGAGCAGCAATTTGGCGTGCTGACTCAAGCCATCTTCAAGAGTTTCTTTCCTCCAAAAAGTGGATTTTACTTGTGAAATTCCGAGGATTGCTTCACATCTAGACACTGGAATTGATGTGTTTTTTACATAGTTGTTCAACAATGCAACGTAACTGATCAATTTAGCATTGGGCCTATTGCTACTGTAGTCTAAACCTTTGAGCATATTTTTCACGGTATTTTTAATATAATTTGAATCAAAATTTTCTTTAATTATCATGAAAGAAAGGAAGTTGTTGCATTTCTCATACTCATTTTTTATTTCTTTAAGCTTTTCTTCAAACAGGTGTTGCTCAGTAGAAGAGAGCTTTTGTTCCAAAATGACACTGGTCATTAAATGTTTTTTCTGACTTTCCTCAAGGGCTTGAGACCGCATGCAGTTTACCATGACAAGAGGTCTGTCAAATATGACGTCTGACAGCTCAGAAATGATGCTGTGTTGAAGTTGTTTAAGGATCTCTGTGTCGTCAATGTCGTCAGCCAGCAGTAGCACTGGGGTGTAGACCTTAGCATCGTTTTCTGCATACTTCAGTAGTTCTTTAACTTGAACCGAAATTTCCTTCTGGTCATCACTGTTACTTTTGATCACAGCACACCTGAATTTTTTTCTGAGCTCCCATAGGACATGCCATGCAAGTGTTGTTCCTCCACAGCCAGGGTGGTGAAACAAGTTTACAGATTCAAGGCATCGGTTTGACTTCAGTGCATCTTCGATATTCTCCTTTAGATTGTTAAATGGTTCACGTTTGATGAAAGGTTTTCCTCGTTTCTCGGAGAAATAGAAGTTCCATGGGCAGACTTTGCCTCCTTTGTAGTAGTTTTCCTCGATACTTCGCCTCAATTCATCAAACGCTGTGTCATCTGCCTCTATTCCTGTATCTTCACACTCATTCTCACACACAATCGTCAGTGAAGACATCCGTTCCTCCTGCACTGCTGTTAAAGAGCATGATCCTCCAACTGATGTACGCAGAAACCGTTTCCGACTCTTAGTCGCCGATTTAATCTTGTAAATTGTGGAATTGAGATGATCCAAGCTCATACTGCGTATTGACCTGTACGCCAATTCATCTTCGTCCACCCTCGTGTGTGCAAGTGTCGCCCAACTTTCATATGATTCTAGACGTTCTGTTATGAGCATCATATCAGAAAGTCCGTTTAGTTTTTGATAAAAATAGAAAAATGTTTCCATCATTGGATCAATTGGGTCATCAATGTTCATAAGTAAAAGAAAAACAACAAGAAACCTTCCACTGGGCATGAGGTCGTTGTTGCACAACAAGCTTACAAGTTTGCTATGGTTATCACTGCGTTTTTTCTGAAACTCTTTGGATTCCATCGGCTTTTCCTCATCAATGTTTGCTCTTCCATTACAGAAGATCCAGCTGGTTTGCTTGTGTAGGTTTAGATTCTTGGCAATGGTCTCAATGTCATTATTTTCACGTTCTACAAACTGCCGGGGAAAATGCAGGTTGGGTGACCTTTCAGCACGGACAAGGCTACACAGCCCAGAAATGGCGGATTCAGGATCAAAGTCAAGGACTGCAAACCAATTTATTTCTTTTACAAAGTCAAGGTGGGGCAATTGGCTTTGGTCCGCCTTGTTTACCACCAATATGTACTTTTTGTAATAGGAATCATCAAGTGTCCCTTTCCCCCCGGTAATTAATGTAGTTAGCTTCTTTCCATCATCCATTCTACGATCGATTTTGTAGCTCGTTTCGGCCAATTTTCTTTGCTCATTCCACTTTTTCACATCTTCACAAATGCGTCTGTACTCTTCTTTCCACTGTTCAGAATTTTGTGTTGCCAGAATATCCTTAGAAGATGCACCATCTCGCTTATATACGTGGTTCTCTTTACCCGCTTGCCATTTTCCATTGACGTGCTTCATTTCATAAACATTGTCTTTGCATATTGTGCTCTTAGAGATAACATCGACTTCTATCACATACGCACCAAGACTTGTATGTTCAGGCGAAATTACCTCCACAAATCTTGAAGGTCGTATGCATTCTTTAGCATCTTCGATCCTGTCTTTCTGGAAGTACTTTAATATGTTGTTGTCGATCGTATCAACAAACTTGCTCTGGTCTTCTACGTGGACACCGGTAACTTCACCGTGCCTGTACCCGCTCTTCGTGTCTCCCACACCAAAGTGTATGGTGCCGTTTGTCCTCCTGTTCATGCAACCAGCAGAAAACCTGAACACCTCATTACAGAATTTCTTCATCTTGGATTCTTCATCAACATCGCCCTCACAGGCGAAAAGTTTAAACTCGCGAACCGGATCTATATAGTTTGTGATTCCCGTTTCACTAGGCAGTACACTTCCTCTGATATATCTGTGTGAAGTGTAATGGTGATCAAATGGGCATGGTGAGCAAATATTCACCTGACTCTTGCTGGAGTTTTGTTGGCTTGAATCATCAACAGCAGAATGCTCCTGTGTCCCCACCTCTGAAGGTGGTTGTGAAGCTTCTTCATGTACCTGCTGTGCTATGTTCGTGGCATCCACATCAACCACATCACCTGGCTCTGCCTGCTTCTGATGCACACTCTTCTCTTCCTGTTGTCCTGTGGCCTTTTTATTTATTTTCTTGTTTTTCTTTGGAGGTTTTTCTTCAGAGTTTGAGAACTCGGCTTGTGTGCTGCCAGGAACGAGTTGTGCCCCCTTTGTTTCACGGTGGCTCTGAGCGTTCACAGAACCGCGTGCAGGTGTTGCTGCTACGTGGCTATGGGTGCTGGACGACTTGGGCTTGGACTTCTTCAGGTATTCATCACGCGAGTCTATGAGTAAGGATATTTGTAGCGACTTGAGACCAAACTCCTTGAGTTGTTCACGCTGCAGCTTTACTAAAGAAGGCCCTGTTAACGCTTCCTCGTGTAATTTGTTGGCATTTTGCTCTTTTAATTTAACTTCGTGAACCAACCAGTGGCGAACAATTGAAAAAAAAAACATTAAACCTTTACATAAAATAGAAATCTGGTACATTCTGTAAAATTGCATTTGGCGATGGTGTCACCGAATTCAAGAGAGTTGAGGAAGGCCACAGGAAGCCACCTGAACCTTCCCTCGGTATGGCTCAAGAAGCCGAGTGGAGCGTGTGCTGCTGTCAGGTGACCAGGGGCAGTGGCATCTGAAAGAGACAACTCAAGCCATGGACCTACCCTGGACCACAGACGTTGAGGGGTGCATTTGGGTATTTTATTGCACTCAAGACTCGGTTTTATAAACTACTGTGAGCTAAATACTGGATTGTGTGTTTTGCAATTAGTCTTTGATTAAATCGCCACAACAGAAATGTAGTGCAGGCCAGAAAACCGTAAATTTTACAAACTACAGAAACATGCATCATGCAAAAACATCAGCTATTCCTGAACAACATTGGACACTGTACTGATGATTCCTAAGAAGAACGAAACTGGTCTGCTGTTGTCTCTGCCTCACTGCTACTGTCAGTCGCCACAGTGGTGAGATGTTAACTACCTCACCAAGTATACAGGTCGTTGGTTCGATCCAATCCCCTACGCCTGTATATTTGGAGTTTGCATGTTCTCCCCGTGGTCATGTGGATTTTTCTCCGGGTCCTCCGATTTTTCCCTCCAAATTTAAAACATGCCTTTATAGTATTTGGCTGCTATCCATTTGCACGTGACAAGCTGCTTCGTTGAGCACTCATATGTGACCAGGTCGCTTCTGAAAAAGAGCTCTGTAGCTCAGTGGGCCTTACCTGGTAAAATAAAAATAGTTTAGTTTTTTACATTTGTGGTCACCATCGCAGTTCTTCAGGAACTGTTGATGGTGCTTTTACGTAACCTATAAAGGCCGATACATTTTTGTGTATACATCTGCGTGGTTAGAAACGTATGGCGTTGATTGCATTATAAATTTCATAATAATAAGCATCCAGCTGTTTATAATGAGCAACCGAAGCAACACATTGCCCATTTAAATGTTCACCTGAAATTGCGTTGGAAACAAGCGGTGTGCATCATACGTGTGAGTGTAACAGCGGCAGCGCATTCACTTTGTGGAGCCGTGCAGAGAGGCTGGGGATGGCGGTCAAGGGGAGTGCTTCACGTGGCACTGTTCAGGCTTCACTTCAGACACTCCTTATCTCTCCCAATCCCTTATCTCTTTCTATTATCTTTCCCCATTTATAATCTCTCACATCCATAATGTCTCCATATTCACTATCTCTCCCCCTTCCTCAGGCGCTCTAAATAATTACGAGCTATGATCAGATGGCAATTTGAGCAAGCCTGCCGATATGTGACTCCACTTAAATAAACTCCGTATTTAAAAAAATATTATTCCAGTGCAAAAAGGTCTAAAATCCTGGCCGTGTTCTACCAAACAATTGTTGGGATTCACGTTGCACCTGGATAACCCTTTCAAGCTATGCACACAAAAGGCCGTGTTTAGCTTTCTCTTATGAGGGTGCTATTGTGAAGGAGGGTGCTCATCAAGCACCGAGTGATGCAAACCTAGAACATTCCTGCAATACTTTGCCCACGTTTGAACTATGGAGTCCAAATGTTGCAGAGTTACAAGTCTCCACTGTGCGGTGATACCTGTACGGACTGCATGGACATTCCCATTGGTCCCCCTGCTCTTTATTTTCCCCCACAGCTGTAATGCAGCACTTGTTAGTGTGGGTATCGGTGGATCACTCGGAGACCATTACTTGCTTGAGACTCCCAATCTGCAGTTAGTTACTCTGCCTCTGGGTACTCTGGTTTGTGATAAAAACTGGAAATTAAGTAACTCGACAAACTTATGAGGTTATAAACTTCCTGAGAGAGACAGCCAGTCCCAGTATTTTAACCTCAGAGCTCAGTAGTGCATGCTCGTTGTCTCGCATTGCTTCTGACAAGGCTTGTAGCAGCCTTCCAAGCAGCTTGACAATATCCATGATCTTGAAGATTCATGATACTCAGATATAATTCAAAAGAGGCTCTTCTCTGTTCAAAACGCCCCCAACCTGAAGCAGTACGATCGTCGTCATGCCCAAGCATCGTGAATGTGTTCGGCCTCGTAGATGTCAGACGTCAAGTGCGTTCGGGCCTGGTTAGTGCTCGGATAGCAGACTGCCTGTGAATACCCAGTGTTGTTAGCTTGGGCCATAATGTGACTGTGAGATTGCTGTTACAGCAATGACTCAATTGATTATTGAATCCATCTGTGTAGAGATCAAGCGTGCTACCCTCTCGTATGCGTGGGCTTTCTTTGTTGCACTCGTTTATAAACAGGACCTTGCTAAAATGACAGTCTTGACACTAGCACGGCCCAACAATCACCCTCACTGGCCCAGCATGGGAAAGCCGGAGCTCTGCCATGCGTGCACCGAGGTGAGCAGCCCGGCCCGGGAGCGCCTCGCCTGGCGCGTGCGTCGCCTGGCGGGAGACCCGGTGGACGATGTCAGAGACGTCAGGGAAAGCGGTCCACACACCTGGAGAGCTGCCACCCCTCAGCGGGTACTGCACGTGCAGGTTGGCTTCGTGGAGGCCCCCGTGTGTAGACAGCCTCGTGGAGAGAGGCAACTTGAAAAACAAACGAGGCAAGGTCATTCACTGATGCGCATAAGTGCATTTATCAACGTGCAACTCTCATGACCTACTGTAGGTTATCACGAGTGTGCACTATTCAAGCATTGTAAGGGCTATTAAATCGTTCTGTCTCACATTTCCTCTGAACTGGTTAAATGTCTGTAAAGAGTCTCGATCTTCGTGCAGCGCCAGTCACCGCTGACCGCAACGCTGCCGGGTCCGCCGACACTCGGTGTCCAAGTGAGCGGAATGATCAGGGTCACCTTGAGCTGCCAAACGAAGATGGCGACGATTGACAACGGAGTGTACCGACACACACGTGATAATGCTGCACATGGAAACTACAATTGTGTGTTTTTCCTCTGAAAAACTATGTAGAAGAACAATGTAAGGGAAAACTGATCCCTTACAAAACTATTTCCATTTGTTAGCCTGTCAGAGTGCTACGCAAGGAGCACGTGGCAATAACTGATGATGAGTGACAAAGTCACGGTCATGGATCAGGGAGTCACGCTGCAGGGCAGCTTGATGACCGAGTTGGCTCGCGCTGCACTGCGCCCCAGTCCCCTCCATCGCCTCCCACCAGCCTCACGGCAATCCGCCCTTTGCTGCAGTACTCCCCTGCTGCTGCTTGTTGGGGGTTCAACCCCTGGATACAGCGTAGACGCACTTTTTGGTGTAAGACTTCCGTAGTGACACGACGATCATGGATGATGTACACGCAAATATAAATACAGACGCCTTTCAAGATTGCCAAGTCGCTAAGCTGAGTCAGAAGGGTAGGCGCACCGGAGCCCTGGTGCTGAGTATCCACGACCAATTGGAGGGGTGCTGCTCTGCTCGCAGGCTCAGCCAAGATTCCCCAGCGCTGAGCGCGCTCGCTCGTGGCCTCCGGAGCTCTCCGTGACGAGGGGGCCGCGCGCTCTCTGCTCCTCGGCGGCGCTCGGTGCCGGGCTCCGCGTCACGGGGTCATCGCGGAGCGCGACGAGGCGTCAACCTCCCCCCCCTCACTTCATCTCCAGATCCACGGTTTTCATTTTCAAAATGCGTAGTGGCAGATCGTGAATATTTTCGGTTTTACCTTGGGACGGTCTCACCTAGTCCTGGCTTAACCGCGCCGAATGGAGTTTGAACGCAGTGTCACTGTGGCGTCACTGTGGCCGTGGGAGGTAGGGGAGGGGCCACTAAGAGTAGAGGCCGACTGAAATTGAATTTCTGGTTTAAATTCTGGTAAATTTTTTACTTTCAATCTGGTTTCAGTCGAAAGTAAAAAAAATAACTTTCTGCTGAAACCGAAGCCGAAACCGAAACTTTAACTACACTTTCAACCGAGACCCAAACAGAAAGGTATATAACCGAAGTTACTGAACACAAGATTTATTAAATATGTCATGATGCAATGCTACTTTAATTAAAAATAAATCTAGAACTAATCATTCAGAGCCTGCAGTAAGAGTCGCTAAATATCAAATCTTTCGGTGTTACTTACTTAGTAATTATATCCAAACAAACGAATGTTGTAGTTAAGAAACAACAGTTTTTCCACATTCAGCCAGACAGGCTGCCGTCTGTTGACCGGTTGTATCTACATTAGCAGCCCATGGTTGCGGCTGTAACCTCGCTCCCAAGCTGCTGCTGATGTGTATGTGTTTGCAGCCTATCGCATAGGATTGCTTAGCGCCGACTGACCGGCCGATAGGCAAAGTGATAGATGTAGCACTAGCATTATATTCTAAAAGTAGATCTTCGGTTGACGAATGACCAAAAGTCAATATCAGTTTCGGCCAAAACCGAAACCAGACCGAAAGTTTAAAATTGACTTTCGACCGAAACCGAAAGTGTGCCGAAAGAGGCCTTTTGCCAACTTTCGGCGCCGAAACCTCTAATGCCAAGTGGCCTTCAGTATAAGACATGATGTGTATAATACATTATGTATATCATACATTATCTGTATAATACATTATGTGTATAATACATTGTGTAAAAGACTTCGATTTAAAGCTTTCGTGACTGCAGGGATTCATCTTCATGGTTCTTTCGGTAAAGTCACGTAGAAGGGAAATAACAAAATAATAAAAATTAAACATGAAATAAAATTATCATGACGTTTTAGGCACAACGCAAGCAGCCATCTTCAGGTGATGAAACAGAGCTGTCGGAAAGACAGCATCTTAATGAACACTCAGCTTGGCAGCGTATTTTAAGCTGGCTGGGAGGAGGAGAGAACATATTTATGACAAATGCAGATATGGGGTTAGTCACTTCTTGCGGAATGTGTAGGCGGTGGGGTGGTCTCAAAGCCATATTATGCTGTAGTGTATTACTGCTAGGATTAGCAGTAATAAAGGGAGGGAATTTTTAATAATAAAGAACTGCAGCAGTGCTTTGGCTAACCCCATATCTGCATGTCATCAATATGCGCAATGAATGTTGAAGTACGGCCCACCCACACTCAGCAAGCAGCTGTGGCACATTAGGAATGGACCACTCTTTAAATTATTTCCTCGTGCAGCAAGTGAGTAAAGTGTGGTTTTGTGAAAGTCCTTATGTGCTGTGCAGTACATCAATGCACTAGCATGTGATAACTAAATTGGGCCTGTGGGTGGCTGGCAGGGTTATTGATTAACCAGACGTGTACACCAGTCAGGTGGTTAATGGCGACTCGGCTGAGAATTGTTGTGACACACGTGCTGTTGCATTTTACAGATTTACCGCAATAAACGTCGCTCACCCGGTCGCACTCGTTCACCTCGACCGTGTAGACGCCACCGCAGGGCAGCAGCAGGAACACGCAGCCGGCCCTACGGCATACAGAGAGACGCGTGAGCAGCGTGCCACCGTGACGCACACAGAGACGGGAGCAGCGTCCCACCGGCACTCCCTTCCCCCACTCACTTTACCCCACTCACTTTACCCACAGTGACCAGTGTGGTGAAGTATGGTCACACAATCCCCATGACTGACACGGCATGCGGATTCCGTCGTTCAGCTGCAGATTGACAAAGTACGGTGCATGAGTGTTAATAAACCGGTGTCAATGGGCAATCTGAGCGCACAGCGCTTCCGGCTTTTATACGACAGTCAACACGAGAGAGAACCCCGTGTCGAGACGCCTTCCTGTTGCCTTCATCTTCAATTCTACATCCTTCGTGGGACTCAGTCTTTACAAAGGGCCACTGCAGTTGACCTTCCAGTTTACAACTGTTTCACTAACCATCGAGTGATGATGGGCTGAGGTATGTGAGCTGGCTGCTGCAGTGCCACCCAGCCCAACATACAGTGAGGGAAAAAAGTATTTGATCCCTTGCTGATTTTGTACGTTTGCCCACTGACAAAGAAATGATCAGTCTATAATTTTAATGGTAGGTTTATTTGAACAGTGAGAGACAGAATAGCAACAACAAAAATCCAGAAGAACGCATGTCAAAAATGTTATAAATTGATTTGCATTTTAATGAGGGAAATAAGTATTTGACCCCCTCTCAATCAGAAAGATTTCTGGCTCCCAGGTGTATTTTATACAGGTAACGAGCTGAGATTAGGAGCACACTCTTAAAGGGAGTGCTCCTAATCTCAGCTTGTTACCTGTATAAAAGGCACCTGTCCACAGAAGCAATCAATCAGATTCCAAACTCTCCACCATGGCCAAGACTAAAGAGCTCTCCAAGGATGTCAGGGACAAGATTGTAGACCTACACAAGGCTGGAATGGGCTACAAGACCATTGCCAAACAGCTTGGTGAGAAGGTGACAACAGTTGGTGCGATTATTCGCAAATGGAAGAAACACAAAAGAACTGTCAATCTCCCTCGGCCTGGGGCTCCATGCAAGATCTCACCTCGTGGAGTTGCAATGATCATGAGAACGGTGAGGAATCAGCCCAGAACTACACGGGAGGATCTTGTCAATGATCTCAAGGCAGCTGGGACCATAGTCACCAAGAAAACAATTGGTAACACACGACACCGTGAAGGACTGAAATCCTGCAGCGCCCACAAGGTCCCCCTGCTCAAGACAGCACATATACATGCCCGTCTGAAGTTTGCCAATGAACATCTGAATGATTCAGAGGACAACTGGGTGAAAGTGTTGTGGTCAGATGAGACCAAAATGGAGCTCTTTGGCATCAACTCAACTCGCCGTGTTTGGAGGAGGAGGAATGCTGCCGATGACCCCAAGAACACCATCCCCACCGTCAAACATGGAGGTGGAAACATTATGCTTTGGGGGTGTTTTTCTGCTAAGGGGACAGGACAACTTCACCGCATCAAATGGACGATGGACGGGGCCATGTACCGTCAAATCTTGGGTGAGAACCTCCTTTCCTCAGCCAGGGCATTGAAAATGGGTCGTGGATTGGTATTCCAGCATGACAATGACCCAAAACACACGGCCAAGGCAACAAAGGAGTGGCTCAAGAAGAAGCACATTAAGGTCCTGGAGTGGCCTAGCCAGTCTCCAGACCTTAATCCCATAGAAAATCTGTGGAGGGAGCTGAAGGTTCGAGTTGCCAAACGTCAGCCTCGAAACCTTAATGACTCGGAGAAGATCCGCAAAGAGGAGTGGGACAAAATCCCTCCTGAGATGTGTGCAAACCTGGTGGCCAACTACAAGAAACGTCTGACCTCTGTGATTGCCAACAAGGGTTCTGCCACCAAGTACTAAGTCATGTTTTGCAGAGGGGTCAAATACTTATTTCCCTCATTACAATGCAAATCAATTTATAACATTTTTGACATGCGTTTTTCTGGATTTTTTTGTTGTTCTTCTCTCACTGTTCAAATAAACCTACCATTAAAATTTAGACTGATCATTTATTTGTCAGTGTGCAAACGTACAAAATCAGCAGGGGATCTGTGGGGGTGAACGTCCCCCGCCATCACCAAATGGTCGGGGGTGGTGCCTCCCGACTCCCCCGCTACATTCGTCCCATTACCCCCCGGCTGTTCTGTGGGGTCCGGGCTACCGGCC